GAAGGGGAGGCAGAGCCACTGGGACGCGCCAGGGGTTGGCTGGGGCGCCCATTCCCTCACTTGTTCCTCCAAACCCCACTCGCCGCAAAGTGGGCACAGGGTCCCGTGGGAACCTCCCTCTCCCATCAGCGGGCTCGCTGGACTCCCTAGTTCTACTGAGCCCCCTCCTTTGATTAGCTGGGTGCCTGCACTCTCTGGACTCAGTTTCTCCATCCTGGGCTCTCTGCAACCCATGCCTGACCCAAAGGGTGTTAATCCGAGTTGGGCGCGTTATCCCACTTTATAGAAGGGAAAACTGAATCCTCAAGAGGCCCAAGAAGGAAGGAGCCAGCGCCGCCCCAGGCCCTCCGGACTCTGCGGTCACAGAGGCGGAAACTGGCCCCCTCCCCGCGGCCGACTAGAGGCCGCTCCCTCGGCGGGATGAGGGGAGTGAGTCCTCCACCCCCGACCCGGGGGCGCCTCCATCGTGACCCACCCCGTCCCCAAACACTGGGAAAAGGCTACCGCTGGTCGCGGCCACGCTGGTCACCGTTTAGGGCTCGGCTAAACCCGACCCCGGCTGCCGGGACTCCGCCAGAGTGACGCCGGGATGCGGCTCTGCCCCCGCCTCCGGGCCTCAATCCCGGAGGAACAGCTGCGGCGCCGAGAGGAGCCGAGCAGAACCGAACAAGGCCGAGCTTGGCCGAGCAGAGCCCAGTGTCGCCGAGTATTGCCGAGGAGAGCCGAACAGAGCCGAGCCCAGTGTCCGGCCGAATATTGCCGAGCCTGAACGAGTGGATCCGATTGGGGACGAATAGAGCCGAGTCCGGCCGAGCGGAGCCGCGTCGGGCTCCACGAGGAGAGATGGAAGTCCCCGGCGCCCCCTGCGGGCCACAGAGCACAGCGCTGGCCTCGGCGGGGCCGGTCGGCCGCCTCCGGATCCTGCTACCGTCCTATGGAGCCCACTTTGTGGATGAGGAAACTGAGGCTCCAAGAGGTTCCCAGGCTAACCCAAAGGCACGCAGAGCCGAGAAGTGGTGGCGCTGGGGTTGGAACCTGACTATGGCTGTGAGCTCACTTGCCACCGTAACGGGCATTGTGTTTGCTTTGCCCGCCTCCGTAGTTGCTGCCGTTGGTTATGGCCAGAGAGGAGAGACCCGCCCTGCAGGAAGAGCTGAGACACCCCTGCTATTACAGACGGAGGAACCAAACAGCCTCTGGACATGTTGACCAGCAGCTCCCATGTGCAAATATTGACATATTTCCTGGTCACTGAAGCAGATAGTGGGGCAGAGAGGCCACGTCCCAGTGCAGGCCTCATTTCCCCCCTTTAACCAGATGGCCGTAGAGGACATGGGCTCCTGCCTGCCTGCAGGCTGTGTCCCCCAATGCCTGAGCCAAGACCTGAGGGGTCTGGGACCCTGGAGAATGCCAAGTGTGGCCTGGGCACTTTCTCTGAGCCTCCAAAAAAGTGAAGGTTAGTCTTGCCCTCCACGCTCACACACACACACACACACACTCACACTGTGTGCCGGTCCTTCACCGCTCTGTGCACAGGGCCTGGCCTGCCAAGGCTGCAGGGCTTCCTGGAGAGTGGCCGGGCCTGCAGGAGGCGACTGAGGTCCCACGGGGTTGGCATGGGCAGGGCCCTCTGCCTAGAACACTCATGCTCAATCCTCTGCTCCCAGTGCCTCCCCTCCCCCGCCACTGACCCTCCCCACATTTATGCTCCCCCCAGAACACACTTCCCTTCCCGCTCCACTGGATAGTGACACAGTTACTTGTGCGGCTGCCTGTGAGTGCCAAGAGCACAAGACCTGTTTCCTCCACTGTACCCCCAGCCCAGGCCAGTAAAATCTTGGTGAACTTAAATGAACTAGGCCCAGAGGTGAAGTGCATAGCCCAAAGCCACACAGGAGGCTTGCAGCAGAGTGGGCCGAGGGCCCAGCCCCGGCAACTTGGGGTCCCATGACTTTTAGGGGGTGCATGTCCCTCACAGCCTTCCAGTGGATTCATTGTGAGCCTCACCAGGGCCTGCCAGTGACAGGGAAGCACCCTGAGACCTTAGCGGGACTGTGACCTCACACAACTCCAGGGAGAGCCCCTCACATTACAGCCTGTGATTCTCACACTTTTAGTGTTTTCTTCTCTGTCTGGAGTCCTATGGAGCCCAGGCTGTCACCTTCCCGAAGGACAGTGGCCTCTGCCTCTCCGACCCCGTGTAGGTGAGGAAGGCCTGAAGCCCTGGGGCCTTGGCCGTCCCTACTGCAGGGCCTACAACCCCCAGCTCCTCTCCTCTCATGCTGAGGCTGGTGCGTGAAGTCCTGGTCCAGAGCATGGTGGTCATGGGCTGTTGCCTGGCAACCACCTCTGAGAGACAAGTTCAAGGGAAGGTCTTGGGTTTGAACAAGTTGGATGTTTGCAGAGGAGGAGCCAGGCAGGGAGAGTCATCACCACCCCTTCCTGCGCGCTCAGCCTCACAACCCCAGAGCCTCCCCGCACCCTAGTCCTTGCACAGATTCCGGCCCCAAACCCCCATGCAAGCTCCCTTTGTCCCTTTGCTCCCACCCAACCCCATTTATTCAGGGTCACCATGTTGTACAAATCCAAAGGAGGCTAGAGTCACAATGTGAAAATCGCCCTTGGAGTTGCGAAATGGAATTCTCCTTATTCATTAATTTATTCCAAATTCTCACATGAAGGACCCACAGTGCTGCCAGACCCTTGAAACAGATGCACCAGGAACAGTCCTTGCCTGGCGGGGCAAGGCTAGCGGGACACCGGGACACACACATGCACATAAGCATGCGCAGGCATGTGGTGGGGAAGTTGAAGGGGGGCTGTGAGATCCAGCC